CCTCAAATGGTTCACCTCGTGTTTCTTGCAGGGATTGGAAACACGGGAATTATGTTGTAAATGCTTTTGTTGTCCGTATCCTTGAGTAGACTATTCTTATAGTTGTATCTGAATACTAGATAATTAATCATGAAAACATTTTATTTCAACGTGAAATACTTTCCATTTCTCCTTAATGTACACTTCTTAATGTAATGTATACTTTATGCAGCATTTTTAAGTCAATATTTTGCCTCAGATCCTATATAGATCCTATACATCCTATATACAGATCCTATCAGAAATAACGAGTATGTAATACTAGTGTGAATTCATAAAAAGCAAACTAACTTCCAAAATTGCAATCCAGTTATGATTTCCTAAGGTGTATATCCTCATGAAAAATTATCATTATCATTATCTGGGGATTCTTGGACTTTTTGTTGGTCTTTTAGCTTAAAGCAAACCTCGCGACACTTAGAATTAACAATGTTGCGGAAGTTCTTTTCGCTAGGGTTTGACCCACTTTCAGGAAACACTGTAAACGCAAGCCCTGTGGAGACAAGCAGTAAAAATTAGGGTATCATGTCCAATTGTAATATAAGTTGACAATTACACAGTAGTGCCCATTACACAAAACATTCAACTGAGATAGTAAGAAAATCGATCCGACTAATTCTTGGAAGCTAGCGTTAAGATTGGAAAATTATAAAATCAATATAGATATTCCACCTTAAGTAAAGCAATCATCTGTAAACATAACGCAAAAACATACGTTTTATAAGGTTCGTTTTCCCCTTGTCGAGGCAGCTTTTGCTTCTCTTCCCCTCTAGGTTTGAAGATGCCATTTCCTCGTTTGTGAAGACTGCTTCCATACAGTCCCTCACAAAGGGGCCTCACTTTTTTGGAGCCCCTTTTTGCTGCCTATGAGGGAGGCAAAGCAGCTATCAGTGGAGAAATGGATGGTGACGCAGGTTGCTTAGTGTGTATAGGCGTCTGGCAGCCTGACATCTCAGAGCCTGTGGTGCTGCTACCGCCAAGGGACCCATCTGTTGTATCTAGGTCTGTAAATGGCACAAAAATACCGGTGCTATTTTGTTGTTTTTACCGCCATACAGTCCGGATTTTATGCCCTGCGAAGAGCTGTTTGCACAAGTAAAGAACTGGATACGCGAAAATGATGTTGTVTGGAGGTCGTGCCCTAATCCCAAAGTTATGCTGGAATACTGTTTTCTTCAAGTTACAGATGATCAAATCCGAAACTACATCATAAACCCAGGATATGTGTAATTTATTTCAATAAATCCATGAATGATAWGACATTTATAGGTTTGTCAGCTCGGCTACTAGCTTTCCCTTTTGCGTGTTGTATTCATCTGCTGTCAAAACGTTGTCATCCCTTAAGGCTTTCAGATCTTTCAGCTGTTGTAAAATTGCACTACGATTCTTTACCTAGACGAAATAGAATTAACATCATAGTCAATGATCAAGTAATTATAAAACAAGCTCGGGTTGGATGTGGAATACGGAATCATGCTTCTAAATTATTGGGGAATCATGAATTTTAGCGAAAAA